TTTTTTCTTCAGGTGTAAAGCATTGAGTAAATCGATTGAAATTCGCAATATCCGTCTTGTTGAAAAAACTGGCGGAAAATCATCTATTCATTCTAAATAAATTTTTAATTGATTTAATTTTTGTTTTAGATTATTAAACCATGTCTGATAATTCTGATTGTCTTTCAGTAACATGTCAAGCATCTCCTAATATTGCACTTATTAAATATTGGGGTAAACGAAATGAAGAACTCATTTTACCCGATAATGATTCTCTTAGTATAACACTTGATCTTGGTGAATTACATTCGGATACAACTGTTTCAACATCATCATCGATGAAATGTGATACTTTTTATTTTGATGGTATTCAACAGACAAAACTTTCTAAACGAATGCAAAAAGTTCTTGATGAAGTTCGTCGACGAGCAAATAATGATCAAATAAAATTTGTTGAAATACGTTCACATAATACATTTCCAGCATCAAGTGGTCTTGCATCAAGTGCATCAGCCTATGCAAGTTTAGCTATTGCATTAACAAAGCTATTTAATTTAGAAAATCCACAATCAACAGCGGCTTATCTAGCACGTATTGGTAGTGGTTCAGCTGTTCGAAGTGTTTATGGTGGTTTTGTTCGTTGGTCAAGTGAAGGTGAATGTCTTTCATCATGTATTTATCCTGTTGAACATTGGCCAGAACTTCGATTAATTATATTAATATTTAATTCAAGTAAAAAACCTGTTTCATCAACGGATGCTATGCAACGTACACGTGAAACTTCAACATTATTTCAAGCACGTCTTTCAACAGTCAATGATAAAATTGAAAAATTAATTCAAGCAATTAAAATCAAAGATTTTAATACATTTGCAAAAATTGTTATGATGGATAGTAGTCAATTTCATGCTGTTTGTATGGATACATATCCACCAGTTATTTATCTTAATGAACAATCAAAACATTTAATTGATTTAGTTCATGCATTTAATAAAACAGATGAAAATGAAATGATGAAAGTTGCATATACATTTGATGCTGGACCAAATCCATTTTGTTTTATTCGTGAAGAACATGTGGATGAATTCTTGAGTCTTTTAAAACATTTTTATCCAAGTAATAATGATAATGTTCATAAACAAGTATCGAATATCGATGGAAATTTTTCTTCAATTAATCTTCCAATAATGGCTAATGCTCTTGAAAGAATTGTTTTAACAAAAATTGGTTCTGGTCCAAAAATAATTTAATAATTAGCTTTTTTTTTACAAAAACAAATTGTCTTTCATAAGCTTAAGTGATTCATGTTTTTTTTAGTTAGAAAAACTTAGTTTTTACCGGTAGATAAATTTTTCATTTGCTTTTTAGATCAGTAATATGATGTCTATTAATCCTTTATCTCTAAGTTTATTACTTTTTGTATCATTATATACTGTTAATACATTTGGCTTCACGGTAATATTCACATATATGTATATAAATAGTTCTATTATTTTTCTGTAAAATAGAAAACAATAGATTTAAATTTATCTTGGAATAACTGTGGACCAAGTTCAGATTCAATTCAATTACAAAGTCTTTCCATTACTCCTGATCCAATTCGTATACCAGGTATATTGATACATCATTATCATTATTATTTATATAATTTGATTGTTTAGGAGGTTTTAATATAACCGGTTCTGCCAGTGTAGCATTAGAAATTCCAACAGATGTTCATGTATTTATCATACTTTTTCTATTTGTTATTATTCTAATATTTACTATATCTAGGTCACAGTTTTACTTGAACGTAAAGTGGGTCCATTTTTTGTAAAAGTTCCATGTGTTGATAATTTTGGTTCATGTAATTATGG